CTTACTTTTCACTCACCACCCCCACCACTTCCCTCCCATCTGCCCACCCCTCCTCTATTTATTTATTTATTTTTAATTCTTTAAAAAATGGAAATGTGAAAAAAATAAAATTGGTAACCAAAGAAAAGTTAAAATATAAATTTGATTACCAAACTTTCACAGGAGTCTCTTTCACCATATAAATTGATTACCAAACTATCCCTATATTTTTTATATGACCGAAGAAAAGTTAAAATATAAATTTGATTACCAAACTTTCACAGGAGTCTCTTTCACCATATAAATTGATTACCAAACTATCCCTATATTTTTTATATGACCGAAGAAAAGTTAAAATATAAAGGTAACAAATCAAATATTAGAGCACACAATTGTATACCAAGAAAATAAACGAGGTTGACGCCGTAAAGTGGAAGTTAATTTATTTAATTTGACTATTTTTTTCACTAAATTTCTAAAAATATGTAAAGATAACTGAATATTAACGAAAACATTAGAGTTAAAAATGATCGATTTAGCTGAATTCAAATAACTTTTAGGTATACATACTTAAAAACACTTTTTTAGTGCTTAACCTGAATTTTAAAATTAAAATAAAAGTATGGCAGCTGAAAATAAGTTATTGATGCATTTGATAATAAAAAAATATCGAGTAACAACTTATCTATCAAAATAACTAAAATTTCTTTAAAATTGTTAATATTAAAAATAAATTTATTATCCAACATTGTTATATCAAAGTGCCTCAAATCACAGATGATAGTATTAAACTAAGTGAAAACTCAAATTAGTTTTTATTTACTTAAATAGTATGCAATAATTAATAATCAGAAAAATATTTTAACTTTTCTTCAGTTACAAAAAAAAAGGTTTTTATTATTTTTCACATTTTCATTTTTCGAAGAATTAAAAAAAATGAAAAAGAAGAAAATAAAAATAGAGGAGTGGTGGGCAGATGAGAGGGAACCGGTGGGGGTGGTGAGTGAAAAGTAAAAGTGTCATATGGGTCCATTTATTCAAGTGTCAAAATTTGAATGGAACCTCACACAACTATTGTTGGTTGTGCCTCTACCATCTTAAATTTTTTTGACATTTTAGATTTTCTTTTGGTAATAAAAAAATTGGGAAAATATTTATGTGTTTGACTAGTTCTTGAATAGAAGATATTATTAATGAATAGATCTGCACAATAGTGAAGTCAAAAATTCCGTTAAGGATATTCAAGATTTAATATATACATATGAAAAGCAATTTTTAATTTATATAATTCGTATAATTTTCTATATACATAAAAAAGTATTTTCACGGCTACGGGATCCGTATATTCTTTACATTTTCAGTAATAAATGTTTACTACTCCATTTATATTTTGTCAATTATTAGTCTTGTTTATCATCTATGAATTGCAAGTAATAGTTACTGTACCAAAAGAGGTTTTTAGTAGCAATATAATTTTTCTTTTGGTGGTAATATTTATTGCCGCAAATAAATTTGCCAACTATTGAGTAAATAATAAATATCATTGCATTTAGGATCGCTAAAGCTTTTAACGACATAAATGTCAAGTAAGTGGAACTAACTCTGAACAATATTTCAGGCCGACAATCCAAATTTTTCTTTGTTTTATAAAACAAAAGTAAGACATTTTTGTTAGTTTTTCCACTCGGTGCTCGATACTTATCTGATATACTAAATTTGAATTTGCAACGATAAGTCTTACCTTTTAGGTAAAACGCTCCCTAATAAAGTCCGTCGGAATTCACAAGTGAAAGAACAAAAACTATTGATTCACAAAAAAATACTACTTCTATTGTATGAAGAATATGAATGTAGAACCTTAGAAAAGAAAGATTTACACTTACAGCAGAAAATGAATAATTACATCAAGAAATACAATCTCATTAGTTAAACACTATACTATGATGTTATGTGCTCTTTTTAGCTTTTACTCAAGACGAACTTCACTGAGTATGTTGTTGTACTCAAGACGAACTTCTTTATGATCTCATCCACATTATCCACGAAAGACGTTTTTACTTCAAATTCTTCATTCACACTTCGATTTTTTTTTTAGCTTTTACTGGAGATGAACTTCACTGGATATGTTGTTGTACTCAGGATGAACTTCTTTATGCTCTCATCCACATTGTCCACAAAAGGTGTTTTTACTTCCAAATTCTTCATTCACACTTCATTTTTTTTGTCTAAACAGGAGGCGCGAGTGGCATAGGTTTGGAGACAGCAAGAGTTTTAGCAATGAGGAATGTTCATGTTATTATTGCAGCACGAAATATGGAGGCCGCGAATAAGGCTAAACAATGCATTCTCAACGACAACAAAAATGCTCGTGTCGATGTTGAGAAACTTGACTTGAGCTCAATTAGATCTGTCAAGACATTTGCCGATAATTTCAAAGCACTTGATCTTCCTCTCAACATCTTAATGTAATTCCGCGTTATTGATTGAGTTCTTAGCTTTGAAAAACAGAACATGTTTGCCTAATGAGAATTTGCAAAAAAACAGAAACAATGCAGGTATTATGTTCTGTCCATTTCAACTTTCAGAAGACGGCGTTGAGATGCAATTCGCGACAAATCATCTAGGTATATACTCTGTCAAACTCTGTTACTTTACGAATAGAAGTGTACGTAGAGTTGAACATAGTAAAATAAGAAAGTTAAACATCTCGAAAAGCTAATCATCACAACTTCTTCTCTCCTTCAGAACAATAAGGTCGTTATGCTCATTATTGAACTTGTTTATCAGAGGTTTAATCGATCATCATCAGAAGAAGAATTATGCTAATACATTATGAAAAACTCAAATTTCTATCGAAGAGAAGCAAATGAAAGACTTTCATAAACGTTTTCGTAGTTCTCAAACCTCTAAAAAACTCATCTTTTTTGGATTTTCAGGTCATTTCTACTTGACTAATCTTCTACTAGACAAAATGAAGGAAACAGCAAAATCTAGTGGAATTGAGGGTAGAATTGTGAACTTATCATCAGTAGCTCACATTTGCCCTTACAAAGGAGGAATAAGATTTCAAAAGATCAACCAAAAAAACAGGTATACTACTGTCCTACGTTGCTCAGACTCTACAAAAATGTTGTCGTTCCAGTATCAAATCCACTAAAAAGCACTACTTTTGAACGATCTGACACATATCTGATTGATTTTTGAAGAGTCAGAGCAACACAGATATTATCATGACTTCCCATTTAACTAATTTACCTATCTATTTTGTTTTTGAACTAGTTATCAAAACAAACTAGCATATGCTCAATCCAAATTAGCAAACATATTACATGCCAATGAACTTTCGCGTCGATTGCAGGTAATTAACTAAACTTTTTTTTTTTACTGTAAGCTTAGAGAAACAACGCGCTATATGTCATTACTAGATGTTCATTAGACTGTGTGAACTGTTTCATCTAAAAGTTTAAGTTGTTAGAGATTAGACAGTATAATTATTTTATATCATCAAATACAGGAAGAGGGAGCAAATATAACTGTCAATTCAGTGCATCCAGGACTAATTATGACTCCCCTCATGAGGCATTCTGCTCTTTTGATGAGTATGTATTTTCTATATTATTAAACATTCACAATATTTTATTTTTTTTGGTTTCCCACTTGGTATCCGGAGTCCACATTGGAGCTCCAACTAAATCAGGATCGCGCTCTGCATGACCCATTAGGAGGTGGCGCTCCCAACATGATATATTACTTCATATTTCATGATCTTTTTTTAATCACTTGGATTTTGCTTGACAGGAATTTTTAGGGCTTTCACTTGTATCCTATGGAAGAATGTCCCTCAGGTAAAAATGAATTCACTTCCTCTTTTCGTGAACTGTACAACATTCAGTGGCCGAGCCAGGATTTTTACTAATTGTATTCAAAACATTAAAAAAGAGTAAACGCGTGAAGACATCAAGGATAAATGACCTTATATACAATATAATTTTCCGTCATATCTATCATAGTGTGATTAACAATGATTCGAAATTTTCAGGGGGCAGCTACAACATGTTATGTTGCACTTCATCCAAGTCTAAAAGGGGTGACTGGAAAGTACTACTATGACTGCAATGAGTACAAGCCAAGCAAGCTAGCGCGAGACGAAGCTTTAGCAAAAAACCTTTGGGATTTCAGCAACAACTTGGTTAATGCATCTCTAAAAATTTGAGAAAGAAAATATTACTATTTCATTCACATTTTATGAAAAAGTTGTTGGGGGTTTGTTGAGTTTTAAGCTTTGTTAGTTTTGCTTCCAATATCATGAGGGTTTTGTCTCTTTGATTTTTCTCAGTTTATGTAACATACTTTATTTTTTAGTTCATAAAAAAGAATGTCATCTTTCTATAGTTGGAGATAATTTTAACTTTAAAATACCTCTTTTACCGTTAATGAAATAATTGATAAATGTACGAATAGTCGATGAATATTTTAGCCCATAGAATTCAAAAGTCTTGCATTTTTCTAAAAACGGTGTGTCAAATCAAACGATTTCACATAAAGTAGTCAAAAGAGAGAAGAGAGAAAAAAACATTGTTTGGTGAGGCATTATATTGTATCATTGTTCTCTTTTTGGCAAGTGAGTGAAAAACCAACCTTCTACACGAAGGAATCTAGGATTTGAAGACTTAGGGTACATCAAGTCTCAAATATGAGCTCCAGACTGAAATATGTGTTGGGCATGCGACCCATCAACCCACTAGTAATATATATGGAGATAAAGCATAGCATGTCACCATAAAAACTCAATTCGAGGAGGAAGATCCATCACTAATATTTATTTGTTTAATGCATCTCTAAAGACTTGAGAAAAAAATATACTAAAACAGAAGAAACTGCTTAAAGGCGTTTAGATAATCTTTATAAGTTTAAAGCAGAAATATTGGGTAAACATTTAGAAAATCTTAAAAGAAGAATGATATGCAAAATGAGCATGCCACTTCCTTTTTTGAGATCTTGAGAATATACTACAGTTTTCCTTTAACAAACTTCTGGAGTCTCAGGACCCAACTGGCACTTATCTCCGTTGCGTTTGCAACGCGTGCCAAGTTCAGAGCCCTAGCTTCATCAAGAGGTTGACATTCACGACAAATACATTACACATTAGAACTTGTACTAAAAGAAATAGCCCATACGACTAATCACTTGAGTTTTCCAAAATATATTCATAGCATTGGTAATATTAAGTCAGAAACAATTCAGCAGAGTACGACAACCAGAAACGACAGATAACATTCCTAACAAGTCTGCAGCAACAAGCAAAGAGGCACTTCAGCTGTCAAGTTCCTCCGACTTGTCTCTTCCATGAATCCTCAACAATCAGTTCATCGACTCCCCAATCTTCATAACTAATAAACACAAGAAGATAAAACTAATTTAAGTGAGAAATGACAAGACATAGGATGAGAGAAGGAAGAGAAATGTAGTAACAGATGCTTAAAGACAAAGGAAGTCTTGCCTTCCATCAGGCAAGTAACGGCGAATTGTGAATGGTATCTTCCTCTCTCGGAGCTCTTTCATTGCAATCTTTTAGCATAAATGAATTTTGACAAAAAAGACATCAGTCAATCTAGAAACTTCACCAAATAAACATGTTGCACAGTCTGCATTTTTTAAAAAGAGGCTTACCTCAAGTGGGTCAGTTTCTCCTTCCAACTCAACCATCACAGGTGCATTCATGCTGCTCGAGGACAAAATAACTCACCAGGTCAGAAAACATATATATTGCATCTCTTACAAGTTATCAAACTAAAAAGTAGGGCCTTGGCAAAAGCAGAATTGAGGAAAAAGCAAAATGACCTGATCTGGAGTGCACGAGTGCCCAGGATTCTTGCACGTTCATATTTTGTCATAAACTTTGATGTCTTACGAGGTCGTTCCACAGGCTCTTGCTGCTCTGGTTTTTCCTCACCTTCACCCATCAGGGGATCTGGTACGTCCTCATTGTTGCCATTATCTTCTTCAATCTCTGCTCCTTCCTGTCAGTTAAGCACAATAACGAAAAATACTTCATCAAATACTTATCCAGCATTAACATACTTATAATGAGGATTACAAATAAGAGAAATCATCTTACATCAGGTTCAGGATCCATTGGCTCGTCCACGTATCTGCACAAATGTAACAGATAAGATGCCTAATAGGTACAATATCCAATGACGTTTACCAAAATCAAACATAATTTATCTTCATAAACACCAAATCAAAAAACAACAAACAAACAAACCAAGTCACAAACGGGTTTAACCACAAAAGTAGCTACTAGGAAAGGTCAATACCCTACCCAATGCATAAAGTGATCTAGGGAAAGCTTGAAACCAAAAAAGTAGAAAGCTCCTGGTTTGTACAAGCATGCACTTCAGAAAGCAATATATACATTGAGAAGGTTTGCTGCAATTTTTGAAATACTCAGATGTTTAAATATATTTGAAAACTTCGTATTAGTAATACAAAGTATTTCTTGAGCAAAACAAGGACACTTGTAACATCAGTGCTAAATGACCTTCAAGCACAGCTGATCATCCTCTCCCATTCTTGCTTTTTCTCAGGTAGCTTTTCTTTACACCTATTTAGCTAGTGGGGCATTGGCCATAAATGAAATTCGTAGAAGGGATAAAACAAGAATAAAGAAGAGAAAGAAAGAAAGGGGAAGTTTCTTCATGTGAATTTCTTCCAATATGCAACTAGTTAAATAACTTTATGCTTAAATGAACTACTTAGCTAAGATTTACAATAATCTCTAAATCGATGCAACTGATCTACTAAAAGCAGCAATCCAGCAAAAGTTGAACCGATGGTAAAGCCGTTATCAAGCAACCTCAGTCTACCTAATGCTTAAAGGGTATTTGTCCACCATATACTACAAGGTCATCTTAAGAATACTCTTCCCTATACATAGATCATTGTCGTAAAATAGTGTGAATTGCATCATTTAAAATCTTAAGATGTTGGAGAAGTTTTGAGTGTTTTTTTGGATATGGAATATGCTCCTCACTTGTGGGTCTAACTTTTTTCCTTTTGCACCATGAAGTACAACAACTCTGCCTCAAATCTCAATCCCAAACAAGCCAAGGTCAGCTATATGATCCTCACCGATCATTTTTCCCTGCATTAACTCAATTCATGACATCATCATAGCAATTCCATTAACTTGTGACAATGAGACTCAAACTGAGACTTCTGCCACCCCTGTTACCATATTGAATTGTGTGAACTGCCTCGTTTTAAAAGTTTAATCCTGTAAAACACCTCTCTAAAAGCTGAACTTTCAGAAAGGGGACACCTTTACTTGTTTATCTTAAGTCCTCAACACTTCCCACAGATAAATCAATAATCAGAGACGAAGAATAAGCCCGAAAGGGGTAAAAAGAAGAGAATAGGTCATGTTAAATTCAAAGAACAAAAACACAAATTGGAAAAACCCTAAGCCTCGACCACAAGCTAAACAACCAAACAACAAAATCAGACAAACCCCAAAAACTGTTTTTCCATAAACCCTAACCCTAAACAAGTTCATACTCAATAGGCAAATCAATTAGTGTTACACATAATAAACCAAATAAACATCAAATTTCAACAAGATAAAAACAATAAAGAACGGCGGCACTAACCCTCCGTCCATATCATAATCATCGTCCGCCATTGTTGCGTCGGCGTCAAAGCTCTCTTTTCAATTTGTGTAATACGGAGAAAACGCAGCTTTGAAACCAAATAGAACTGAAAATGTTTTGCCCTTTCTGCGCCTTTAATAGTATTATATATATTATATTGTGGGGTTATTTTTGTTATTTTACACATGTACTAGTACGACTTGTTTTAATTGAGTATTCGAACATATTATATAGCGTGCATTTGTTAAACACTTTGAAAACGCAATTGTGCACTTTTTTCAAGTATCTATCTATTAGGTAGTTAAGTTAACATCATAAAATTTGTCACTTCATTGAATTTATAATAACCTCAATAAATAATAAAACCTTTTTAAATCGAGGTCGAATCTCAGGTTCCTATTGGTTGGGTCTTGGATGTCACTTCATTGAATTTATAATAACCTCAATAAATAATAAAATCTTTTTAAATCTGTTGGTTGGGTCTTGGATCTTGGGTCGGGATCGGGATTGGGTCCAAGGTCTCAAGTCAGGATCAGGGTCAGGTATCGGATTCGGGTCTCTAGTCTTGGGTCGGAGTCGAGTCTTGCGTCCAGAGTTGAGTTTTGGGTTGTGGTTTGGGACAGAGTCATGATCAATGTCCGATCTTAAACAATTCACGTGTCTAGTGGGTGAAAAATACCATCGACTATAATAAAGCGTAATTTATAGTGCAAGAGGATAACAAGAACCCTACACAAAATATTACATTATATAATTTAAAGAGTGTTAAATAGGCGGGGTAGACTTAAATAAAGTATGTCAAAAACTGAATGAGCCAACAAAAAGAGACATGAAAGCAATAAAGAGAATACTTCAATATCTCAACGGAACAATGCACTATGGAATCAAATTTCTTATCCAAAGTCCTCTAAAGCTATATGAATTTTGTGAAGCCGATTGGGCATGTTGTCCGGACACTAGAAGAACTACTGGTTATTGTATATACGGAAAATGGTCAAAAATATCTTTAAACTATCCGAAATAGCTCATATTTATCCTTAAACTATATTTCGGCTCAAAACTATCATTCTCGTCAAATTATTGGGTCAAAAGTACCTTTCTTATTAACGGAAGTTGTTAAATGCCATGTGGATGTCACATTGCATGTCAATAGGGTTCCACTGCCACATAGACTAAATCTCTAAATCCTAATTACTCTTCCCCCCTCATTTCATTATTTTCCAAAAACAATTTCACCCCTTCTCCCTCATTTCGCGGCTAGGGTTTCACAGTTTTCTTCGTGGCTGGGTTTCGAAGTGGATATTCGTGGTTGTAGGTTAGTAAATATTTTTTCTTATTTTATTATGTTTACGATTTCAAAGCATGATAGTTAGGATTTCACAACTTTCCCCTCATTTCGCGGCTAGGGTTTCATAGCTTTCTTCGAGGCTGGGGTTTCAAAGTGGATATTCGTGGTTGTAAACATAATAAAATAACAAAAAAGATTTACTAATCTACAACCACGAATTTCCACTTTGAAACCCAGCGACGAAGAAAACTGTGAAACCCCTAGCCGCGAAATGAGGGAGAAGGGGTGAAATCGTTTCTGGAAAATAATGAAATGAAGGGAAAAAAGAGTAATTAAGATTTAGGGATTTAGTCTCTGTGGCAGTGGAACCCTATTGGCGTGCAATGTGGCATTCATGTGGCATCCACATGGCATTTAACAACTTCCGTTAATAAGAAGGGCACTTTTGACCCAATAGTTGACGGAAAGGGTAGTTTTGAGCCGAAATATAGTTTAAGAGTAAATATGAGATATTTTGGATAGATTAAGGGTATTTTTGACCCTTTTCCTTTTAGTCTATGTGGCAGTGGAATCCTATTGGCGTGCAATGTGACATCCACATGGCATTTAACAACTTTCGTTAATAAGAATGGCACTTTTGACCCAATAGTTTGACGGGAAGGATAGTTTTGATCCGAAATATAGTTTAATAAATATGAGCTATTTCGGATAGTTTAAGGATATTTTTGATCCTTTTTCGTTGTATATATCTAGGAGCTAATTGTATTTCTTGATCATCAAAAATGCAACCAACAGTTTCAAGATAAGGCTGAAGCAGAATATAGGTCAATGACAAGTACATCGACAAGACTAATATGAATTACCTTCTAATACGAGATGTTGGAATTGAATTATTACATGAACCACCACAACTCTTTTGTGACAAAAAAAATGCACTTTACATAATCATAAATTTAGTATTTCATGCCCGCACAAAGCATATAGGGATCGACTGTCACTTTGTTCGTGGGAAGGTTGAAATTGGAGCATTGACAACTCTATATATTCCCCCATCTTATAAAATTATAGACATCTTCACCAAATCTTTGTCAAAACTCCCATTTCGATATTTTAGGAACAATCGAGGCTTACATTCAATCATTTCCGCCAACTTGAAAAAGGGTGAAAAGAATGATATTCGACCTACTTATGCACTGATAATGTTAAAGATCATAGTTGCCAGTTGAAATCAAGTTAATGGTCATATATTATGATTTATGCCTTTTACAAATATATGTTTTCATAAATGTTTACAATTCTATAGCCAAACACTAGTTTTTTGTTAAGCTTAAAAAAGTCATTATGTGATTCAAATAGTAATAGTACTTTTGGTGGCACCTGACAAGATATTGCTAGTGCTCCAAATATCTCCCTTGCTACGATTAATGCATAATATATATACAATCATTATCAAACTAAGTCATTATATGATGATCCATATTGATAATAGTCGCAAGAATATGTATGTTATTCTAATGTTTTTCATATATAAACATTATAAACTCAAAGACTTGATTTAATAATATTGATGATATTTTTTTTAAAATAGTGTACCAATAGCTCAACATATACGTGCAATGCACATGAGGAGAAACTAATTAAATAAAAACACAATGAGATTGTAATGTTCAATACTAGGACATGAGCATCAATAAAATTTATAAGATATCGTTCTACGTCACCAGAACTAACTTTTTTAAAATCATAATCTTCAGAAATTATGATCCTTTTTCACATCTTGAATGATAGGATGTTCAGTAATGCTCATAGCTTCTTCCAAAGTTAAGTTAGACATGTACTCTTGAAGGCTTTGTGTGCTGCTTGTAGAGATTTCTTCATTTTTCTGCACAAAATGAAATAATTGCATAATCAACAAATTAATCTTTTACCTAAGAAAATAGATTCTTCTACGTGAAAATTTTAATTTAATTCTTTTATGTGTAAAAAAATACATAAACTTATATATGACTTTGTGTATGCGACCGTGTGCATTTTTCGGATTGGCGCATTGTATTGTAGGCTAAGAAAAATTGTGATATAGTGATAAGTAAGTACTTAACTTAACAAGATATTTATATAAAATAAACTAATTTAATCATAAAAATTAAATGCTAAAGGGAAAATACATATCATTCAATCATGATTAGATAACATATTAATAAATTTATGTATATTATGCTGCCAAATATACATAATATACATAAAGATCTTGTTTTTCAATGATCTTATGCTGCCAGTGTAAGGACAAACAGTACATGAGAAAGAATCATGTCAACCTACACTAGCAAGAAGAGTACATAATCTTAATGTATATCCCTAAATATGATAGATTAAACTTATATAAGGTACTAATGCCTATTGATGGCTAAGGTCAGTGGTGGAGTCAAAAATTTTAATAAGGGGGTTCAAAATCTGAGAAGTAAACACACGAACTAGTGGAAGGAGGTTCGACATATATTATACATACCTAAAAAATAATTTTAACCATGTATAAATAATAATATTTTTCACCGAGGGGTTCGGCTGCCTCCACCCCTGGATAAGGTGCTTGAGCAAGGCTTGGGGCGGACTGTCCAAATCTATTAGTTTTTTTTTTGTAAAGCTCTTTGATTAATTACCAAAAAAAGTACTTACCCGAAAGAGATATTGATATTAAATCAAATAATTTAATCATAACAATTTAAAGTGAAAACACATATCACTCAATCATGATTAGACAACTAATTGATAAATATAAAAACAAAAGATCTCACAAAGAGCAAGTGATGTATAATATACTTTAATTGATAATTTCGAAAATAAACATCGAATACAATAGAACAAAATAGGGGTGTGCATTCGGTTTTTCGGTTTGGTTTTGCACTATTCTGTTTGGATTTTTGGTTTTAGTTTTGTAAAAGTGTAACCCAATCCGATCCAAAATAAATTTGGTTTGATTTGGTTTGGTTTTCCTCTATTCGATTCGGCTTTTTTTGATTTGGTTATTCGGTTATGTCAATAATTAATAACATATATAACCAAAGTAATAATATTTAATCCCTTAAATATTCTTTCTAATATAAATCATAAATAAAACTTAAAACACAATACTTATAAGTATACCTATTATAGATGTAATTCAAACATAAAATATAATGTAATCATCATGAAGGCAATAACCAAAAAGGAACAAAAGTGGTTAAACTCCAACTTAATTCTAAACCTAAACATTATATATATATATAATTCGGTTTTTTCGGTTTTTATTTTTTTAAAATCCGAAACCAAACCAAAAAACCAAACAAAGTAATTTATTAATCCAAAACCAATCTGAAAAACCAAAAAACCAATCCAAATAAAAATTCGATTTGATTTGGTTTGGTTTGATTATTCGGTTTAATCCGAATAGTGCACACTCCTAGGACAAAAGCATAGACAAAAAATAATAAATATAAAGAAAATCAAATTAAAATTTTTAAAAAAAAACATACCTTGTTCAAGGATGATCTTTCACTCAATTCTTTGTAAAATGCATTTGTTTTTTGTACCAAGTCAAGCTCCTTCTGAGTTTCTTCAATTTCTAAATTCAATTTTTCTATAACAGCAAGGCTCCCGTACACAGGATTTTCATACCTAATCTTAGCCTCTAAAATTAGGGTTTCAGCCATTTTTGCCTTTTTCTCATTAGCAGTAACAGAATTAAGCATATTTATGAGAGTGTCTATGCTGTAAAGTCGAATAACTTTATCAAATTCATCAACTTTGTTGGAAGGAAAAAATGGAGCTAATGGACAATTCTCATCACATATGTTGTTTTG